CTAAACTTCAAAAACTTTCAGGGGCAATAACTCATAAAAGGGGTCGACGAATACTTTCGCAATGAAAAGATGAAAAGTCCCCTCAATTAGTCGAAGACATTGGTGAAGGTTCCGAACCTCTACGGTTTACGTTTTTGAAGGAGTAGCGATAACAAGCTTTTATTGCCAAAGGGGTTATAACTCTTGAAGGGGTCAAAGTTCATGTACGCAGGGTCAACTGTAAAAATCTTTTAAAGAGTACATTCTTATAGACTATAAATCTTTTCGATAGATCTTGAAACATAGAATCACATCAGGGGGTGGAAAAATAATAATAATAATAATAATAATAATAATAATAATAAACAGAAGAATATCAATAGGTCTTTCCACAGAAAGGTGGAAAGACCTAATAAGCATTTCAAGAGGTCTTTCCACAGGAAGGTGGAAAGACCTAATAAACATAAGCATTTCAAGAGGTCTTTCCACAGAAAGGTGGAAAGACCTAATAAGCGGCCCGAGGGCCTTTGTCCGTGCACATAAAACACTGTAAATGATCCATATGGAAGTATAAAATAAAACAAAATAAACTGATAGATGATATTTTGTTGCCTAAAAGCAAGAGAAAATCATCAAAATATTTAGCCTAGTGGTCAACAAATCTAAAACAGGTTAGAGAAAATACTTAAAATCGGGTATTTTCCGCTTAAACGTGTTTAGTTCGCGATATCGGGTACATTTGAATCCGAAATCGGGTATCCCGTTCAACTTTCAGCAAAAAAAGAACAAGAGGCTCAAACACCTTAACGGTCACCTGAGTATCCATAGAAGTATAAAACAAAATTAACTGATAGAGGAATCTATTTTCCTCAAGAATTTCAAAAATCTGGTAAAATACCCTTGCTTATTGTAACATGAAAGACCCGAGCGATCTCCTTAGGATCGTACTTGGTTTGCCAAAGTCCTACTTATGTTTCTTAGCACAAATAACTTAGCTGCTTGTCTCTTGGTACATGTAATACTTGGTACAAAACTTGCCTCTTGGCATTACAAACAGCTTGGTAATACCTGTGAACACTCACCACTTGGCTATACAATGTGCCTATTTGCCACTTGTCACCTACTACAACATGTCCCATAGTCACGTAGCCTCTCTATGATCACATAGTCACTATGATAAAATATAAAACAACTTTATGCAGTCTCTTACCAAGTAAACTATGGAGTTCATCACTTTTCCTGACAATAACGCGTCAGTTTAAAAACATGATGCCACAGTATGCACTTACTCAATACACCTATTTTGCTAAATTAATCTTTATGTCAATCTCTTATATTGCTTAAAGGGCAATAATTTGCATGCTTTACTCATTCAAACAAAATATTTACTTTTATTTTGTCTCTAAGGAAGAAATTCTTCAAAATCATTTGTCCGTTTCAGATATTTTAAACCTTCCCAGCAATCAAAATGAATTTGAATTACCATACCCGTACTTGACGCTTAAACTTCATAAAATTCATTACAAACAAAGACACATAGCGGGATCCAGAAAATGTTCTACCAGGCCTCTTTCTTTACTCCTCACTAAAATGTTTACTGTAATGAAGGAGAAAGCTCAGGAGTACTGTACAACAGTATATTCAAGAAATGGTGTAAATTAGATGTGGATACTTAAAAACTTGAAGTCCAGGGTTTTTGATATCATAGACAACTGCTTTTTCAATAAAAATGGAACTGGTAAATATACTTACCTTGTCATTTGTCATTTGCAAAATTATTTTGTTAAAAAGCATTTTGATTGTACAAACAAGTACTCTGAAGTTGGAATGAAAAAGATGCTTGAGTTTCTGATTGACAATATCGATCTAGTTTTTGGAGATCAGGTCTTCCAACAATCTGTTGGAATTCCCATGGGTGCCAATTGTGTTCCGTTATTAGCAGACCTATTTTTGTATTCATATGAAGCAGAATTTATTCAAAAACTTCTACATGAGACAAAAAGAAAACACTTGCGGTGGCCTTCAACTCGACATTTCAATATATATTATACATATAATACATATAATCAATTAACAATAGTAACTTCCATTCATATGTCGACTCGATAGATCCCAGTGAACTTGAAATAAAAGTTACCACAGAGTCTGACACATCTGTTTCATATCTAGATATTTTTCCAGAAAAAGACGTTATTGGTAACCTAACAACAAAGCTTTATGATAAACATGATGACTTCAACTTTTCAATCGTCAACTTCCCCTACTTATGTAGCAATATACCCTTATCACCTGCATGTGCTGTTTATGTCTCTCAGTTGATTTGATACGAAAGAGCATGCGCTACATATGAACTAATTCTAAATCGAGGCAAGCTATTGACAAACAAGTTGATGAAACAAGAATATCAACAGTCTCGTTTGAAGTCGTCATTTCACAAGTTTTATGGTCGATACAATGACCTTGTCAGCACATACATGTACAACCTATCATTGAGTCAAATGATTTTCCGGGTTTTTCTCCGATCATGACAAGAAGCACACGGCGGGTGTGGCCGATTGGCAGGGGATGCTCACTCCTCCATGGCAATGTACCTGGTCCCACCTCTAAATTTTGAGGTCCGTGTTTGCTCTGCTCCAAAAGTGTATTGTTTGATTGGACTTTCGAGATTGAATATCGTTCGTTATCTTCATATTTCATAGATAGATAGATAGATAGATAGATAGATAGATAGATAGATAGATAGATAGATAGATAGATAGATAGATAGATAGATCGATAGATAGATAGATAGATAGATAGATAGATAGATAGATAGATAGATAGATAGATAGATAGATAGATATAGATATACTATATATATCTCATCACAATTGACACTCAATTTGTCGCCTAAATAGACAGAAGCAGACAAGATTTTTTTCAGATAAATAATATATTTCACTATATAATTAATAGAGCCCTGCCTTAACACCAGAGCCCCTGACTCAACAACAATGAAAATTACAATTTTGGAAGATGGACTCTTGTTCTTCATAACTATGCACCTTGTTTGTTTGCTTATTACCCAGGAGCAGAGAAAAAGTCTTTCATAGTTATAATGCTTCTTCTTTTTATGCAACTTGGTCTTTGAAGTTAGATGTTTTAGCTTAAGTAGAATGCACAATTTATTTTTTTTCTTTTTAAATTGACATATGGAATATTTGATTGATTTTGTTAACAACGTCGGAGAACAGAGAAAAGCATTGGTTAGAATAGTTACTTCCAGTCCTTGAGGATCACAATTGACCTCCTCGGCTCGAAAAGCTTCGCCCTGGTCAGAATAGGAATTTATCTACTCTGTTATGAAAAATGCTCTAAACTGCTATTTGTCAATATCACAGGATGACTAATAAGTACTATGTATAAAGCTCGTGCAATAAGATATTTTTTTTTTACATTCATACAATTTCAAAGGTAAAAAGTCCCCAGAAACTATTTTCGTCGGTATGCGTTCCAATGATTTTGACACTTCCTCCAGCTCCCGGGGTCATGATCACAGCAGACCATTCGTCCGCATTTCGTTTCATCTCTTCTTTGCCGGCAATAGCTTTTTTAACATAAGAAGACTTAAATTTGAATTTTACTTGTTGGTTAGCGGGTAATTGTCCGTTTAATGGTTCAATTAGTATACAGAGATACTCTTGGGCGTGTGGATGTGCAACGGGAAAAGGAATACAAGGGTCAGCTGGCCTCTTACACTCAACTAAGAAGTTACCCATTTCATGGTAAAGGTCGTCGGTACTCTTTTCCTCTTTACACATTAGTACCAATTGATAATATCCGATGGATGGAAATTTAAGGTTTATCTTCAAAAAGTCTTTTCCACCTGTGACAAGAGTAAATTTTTTTCCTAAATCATATTCAGCATGTGAGAGTTGAACTAAGCAGGGAATATTCTTAGTTGTTCTCAGAGTAAGTTCCAGGTGGCCATTACTGCTTTGTAGTAGAGCTGGTACCTTGAATTGATCTGACTTTAAAAATCCATTCTCATAAGCTTTCTGGTTGAACCCCCATTGCTTAGTAAGTCGTGGATAAGGACTTACATTGGATGCCTGTGTACACTTGATAACGTACGTCATCAGCTGATCTAAATTTTCCTGAGAGGGGTCTATCTTACCATATAATTCAGCCCTGTAATTTTTAACTTTTGGTGGGTTAAGAGTGATTTTTATTTCATGTGCAGATTCCTTTCGCAAGAATCCATATTCCTCTACTCTTTCCCCACTCGGGTATTCATAGAATTTAAAGCTTGTATCAAATAGATGCCCTTTTTTGTCTTCTATGGTGATTTCAACAGAACCTTTGACTTCAATGACACCATGCTTGTGCGACTTTGGATGAATATCCCACTCCATTGATTTGTTATTAAGTTTAATGTTCCTATTAAACTCATCAAGGGAGATGGGATTTTTAAGCAGTTGCCATTTTTTGCTAAATTCCTCATCATTGTACTCAAATGGAAAGTGATCGACAATGAAATGTCTGGGATCTGTTAGAAAATAGAAGTTTTCGAATTTTTTTTGGAATTCCCCTTTGTTGCTCAAATGCCCTGCACCCCATGTGCACTCGACAAATTGCCACTTATTCTCTAGAAATACTGCATTCCAAGCATGATTAGTCTTTGTATTTGGTGTAATGAGTTTTTCGGGGGAATAGCTATATCCTTTTGAGAATCCAGATATGACTTGTACCTGTATCCCTGCAATTCTAAAATAAAGCATAAGTTCGAAGTTTATTGCATTCCCCTTGATCATGCTATGTGATCTCCAAAAAAAAAAACGATTTATTCAGGCCAAACTGAATATTATTAAATTTAAAATAAATATAATTTAACCTGCTGAAGTGCCTTGGAAAGGAGGGGAGTATTTATATATTTTGAGGGAAAATAGTTAAGATATGGTTTTCCGTGCTTGATTATGGCTTGTTTTATGATAATTTATCGGAGAAAACAATAAAAGAACACAACAAATGACAACTATTACTTGCAAAATGCTTCGAACAAGTTGGCGTAACCACTACACACTGATTTCCCGTGTTTTAAGACAGAATCAGCGCCTGTCTCCCCGTAATTCCCGCCAAAGTAAGCATCCGTGTCATATCTAAACAAAGAAATCAAACGCAGATTAAATTATTATTGCACAATAATTAAAGACTCCATTCGCTGGTGATGTTTAAGCTTATTTGAATATAATGATTTAACATCAAATTTTTTAAAGAATGCATTTATTATAATTTTATATGATCTAGATTATCTAAATTTCTCTAGCTATTTTTTTCAGTTTGAATTACGATCATGAATATCTTATTAATAAAGATATTTTCCCTTCTTTGGTGAAAAAAAAATCTTTTTGAATACTTCCAAAATGAACGGAACTTTAAGCATTCAATGATATGTGCTTACTTACTTAATATTGTTGGCTATCCATACGTAAAAAGCTCGAACCTTCTCTTTTTCCGACTTTGCTCCTTTGAGAAGATATTCAGTCAAGCTATTTACGGAAGTGTTGATATGTTTAGGTGCCTGTTCGGAATAAAAACTTCCCATTATTTTATTTTATTAAGTAATAAGGATAAAATTAAGTGATGTTCTGATATTAATTAATAACTCAGGTATGCATTTCGGTACAATAAATTTGTTTCAAAATTAACAGTACATGCAAACTGATCCCCATTTTTTTTTTAAAGAAGAAGGTATGGTTTGGCCTTTATTGCGCCCTTAAAATTTAATGTTTTCAGAAAGTTACGAAATTGTCTTAAATATGAGTTGAGTATATGAATATGATAAATCATGAAAGGAGGACCATTTTGGAAATATGACTTTATTAATTTGGTACATTTCTAAGTTTAAAACAGAAAAATCCTCAAAATGGCTTATTTTAGGGGTTATTTTTCTTCAGAAAACAGTGTCCATAGCCGTCGCCCACTTCAGTTTTCGGATATTTTTGTAAAATCCTTTGAAAAATTACATTTCTCAAAATTTTTGTGGGCGATACATGTGCTGTATATTATCTGAAAGACAATTCCACTGAAAATTGATGTCTTCTGCAACTTTTGATAAAAATACGGGAAAATGCACGTCAAGTTCATGACGTCACAATTAGCATTTAGGATGTCTTATGAGAAAAAAGTTTGAATGTTCTTACTGTATGGAATTTTAATGATTCAGAAAGGATGAGTTTTAATTTCTTACATTATTTCCATATTTTAGAAAAATACAGGGTCAGATTTTTATTGAAACTGTACCTTGTTCTTTCATGTATGCTATATGATTAGATATCTGAAATTCTTCTTTAAAAATCTTGATATAACAAATGTCAGGAATAACCTACTACCTTAAGTTAAAATGTCAAAATATTAAGTGAAAGAGTAAGCAAGTCCTTTTTATTCCTTTCTAACATGGCCAATCCAAATTCAGAGCACGTGCATATATATGTTTCTTGAATACTTATATGAAGTTATATCATAGTTTGTATTTAATTAGCATATAATTATGTTACGATCAAAAATTAAAACATTGTCCATATAAATGATATGTATCTATACAGTTAACAAACATGCCTTCTTCTTCACAGATACATGAAGGTACATATATGCTACTTACTGCATCTGATGTTTAAAACGTCGAATAAAAGAGATTTTTTTTCTATTTTTATTCCTGCAATTCCTCATCCCGTCAATTGGTATATGTTGAAATGTTCTGTGGAAAAAATTTCCCAACTATCTACCCAATTTTCTTACCCTGAGTAGGAAGAGGGCAAAAACTTTATTTCAAAAATGGCCTAACCAAAAACCTTAGCAAAATAACTTGAGGGGGAAATCCAACTAAGGGGAAAGGACTGTTAAATAGTAGATTTATCTCTGAGGTGAAAATTACTGTATATCTAGTTTTCCGGGAAGCTCTTTGAGGAAAAGCTTATACATGTATTCAAGTCCTGTTACAGCCCACTAAAATTTGCACTCTTACTTATAAATACCGAAAGAAAAAATAATTTGGAACAGTCTGTTATTTTAAACCTTCATTATATCAATTATTCTTTCTATAGGTTTTTGTGATCGACCTTAGGCGATTATTTCAATTTATTTTTCGGGGTACATTGATTTCAAGTTATTAATCTAAGCAATTTTATATAATTATGTATAAAATTCCATTTCAATTTGCAATGGCACGTGTGTCGCAGTGGTTAGAGCGTTTGCTCTAGAGTCGCTAAATAAGGAGTTTATCCTTACGTCGCGGGTTCGAATTCACAATGAACACCGAGACAGATCGTTCTAACGGTTTTGTTTGTCTGTTTTGTTTAAAGTCCATCTCGAGAAATTTCCACTCATATGGAGACGTCACCACTTGTAGGTGAAGGGCTGCAAATTTATACCTTTATTCCGCATACAGGGCCAATGAGCAGCGAGGGATCTTTTTCATGCCAGCACCGAATGCGACACGGGACCTCGGTTTATACGGTCTCATCCAAAGGACCGGTCTCAACTTCCTGCAGTGGGATTCGAACCCACAACGTAAGGATCAACTCATCCGAATGAGACCGTATTAACAGAGGTCCCGTGTCGCAGTACGTGCTGGTACTATAAATATCCCTCACTGCTCAAAGGCAATAAGTGCCAAGTACCTGTCTAAATTTGCAGTTAACATTGTCAATGGTGGCGTCTAAAACATTCTCGAAGGGACGTTAAACAAACAAAAAAATCTAATCTGAAACGAGAGATTCAGGTCCTCTCCAGTGTCAACCTGTCGACCTGCCAATCTGTCGACCTATCTTCCTGAATACACGTAGACGAGTCAGGCAAACAAACTGTCAACCTGTCGACCTGTCAACTCGTCGACCTGTCATCCTGTCGACTCGTCGACCTGTCAACCCGTCGACCAGTCAACCAAACAATCTGTCAACCCGTCGACCTGTCATCCTGTCGACATGTCTTCCAGTCGACATGTCAACCTATCCACCTGTTTGCATGTCCACAATTTTACCAAAAAGTTCCTACGCTACATAGAATTTCTTCAAATTTCCTCATAGTCTTTAGCAATATAAATTAATTACCCCTTATGAGGTCAACATGGTGAAATAAGGACCCGAGACCTCGCCCACGAGGTGACCTGACCGAGGCCGCGTAGCTGCCGAGGTCAGGTCAGGTCAGCGAGTGGGCCAGGTCGAGGGTCCTTATTTCACCAAGTTGAACTCATAAGGGGTAATCAATTGTTTTATTACACCGATATTAGTTAAGACAATTTTTGTAGGCTTAATTACTAAAATAATCAATTGTGTACTAGACCTACGTATTGTTATTATCAGTGCTCCATCGGGATCAGGATTCGCTAGTGAAGTTGTTTCGCCTGCAAGTCTTGTAAGTTTTTTCACCGCCGATTTATTAAAACACTCTGTGATTTTCAGTAACGTGCATTTTTATAAATTCACATATACAATTCCCGAGTACAATGACAATCTGTTGCAGATTTTTACTGTACAAAAGAGCCGAGTCTGTATATTTGTTGAATTTGACTTGTAACAAAAGTTTCAATGAAAACGATACATTTTATGACGCATCTAAAGGCCAGTCGTATTCCATATCATAAAAAACGATCATACATTTTTTAATAACGGCATTTTTGTAATGAACAGTCATTACTGTATGCATAGATTTTTAATTTGAATGAAATTTAGATTAACAGGTCATTTTTAGCGGTCATGTGCAATGATTCCTAGGTCATTATTGCTGTAAACGGTACTTTTTGGAGTCATTATTGAGATTAAAAGCCTTCTAACAAGCCAATCAAATTTGAGTATTTTTAAATAGAGGTATAATAATGCACATTAATTCTTCAGTCCTTTGGCGTATGAAAATATTTACCGTACTACTTATCCATATATCCTAGTTGAGCCGTTTATTATTTTATAGTCTACATATATTTTAAAATTCAATTCAATTTGCTGTTCAATTTACCTTCAGTCAAGTAGTTTTTCGCCAATAAACTAAGGTGACTGGCAAACTTAAAATTTTCAGTGGTAACAAACTTTTGTTCATGGATGTATAATCACCAAGTCGATTTTTTGGGAGTTGAATTTTAGTCCAGAACTCTTTGTCAGACTTATAAACGAGTAAAAAAAAGGCATTATTTTCAACGGCAACATGTAGTATTTTATAAACCTATCCGACGATTATCGTTGAATAAAGTCTGGATATATTATACCATTTTTGAATTCTAAGATTATGCATGAAGAACAAGTATTTACATATTTCAATAATTTAATTTTTATCTTAAGTGTGCGTTACTTATTTTTTTTTAATGATTTACAATTAAATATTGGCGTCATTTCTAAAAAAAAATTAATTAAACCAGGTTAAAACATCATTAAAACATTGATTAGAAATTGTTAGCCGGTTCTTGTAAAAAAAAGTTGTACGGACTTATGTGTGGGTCAATTGCAAATCCCTTCTAAATAACCTCAAACATTACAACCGACTTATAGGCGGGCCGACGTAAAGAAGAGTATATACGGTAAAAGGTGAAGATAACGAACAGTGATTGATCTCAAAAAATCCTTAAACAATACAAATATCTTAATAAAGATTTTACTTACATTTATTGCATGCGCGTCAACTAATTCATAGTTATCTTTTTTGTGTTTCTCTGTTCGATCTGTTTTTCTGTTATCTTCTGTCGTTTTTTGTCCGTTTTCTTCCAGGATAACTACCTTATCTTCTGTTGATTTTTGTCCATTTTCTTCCAGAGTAACTAAGTGATCTTCTTTCAGGTTTTGTCCATTTTCCGTCAATGTAATTAAGTTATCTTCTGTCGGTTTCTGTCCATTTTCTGCTGAAATTATAAAGTTGTCTTCTGTAGAGTTTTCTTCTGACGGATCTCTAATGTTTTTTGCTGGAGAAACAAACTTAGCTTCTGTCGTTTTTTGTTCCCTTTTTGTAGAATTAATTAAGATATCTTCTGACAGTTTTTGGCCGTTTTCTGTCGAAGTAATAAAGTCATCAGTCGGTTTTTGTTCGTTATCTGCTGGAGTTTTGAAGTCATCTGTCGGTTTTTGGCCGTTTTCTGCTGGAGTAATTAAGTCATCTTCTGTAAGTTTTTGTCTGTTTTCTGCCGGAGTACTTGGGTTCTCTTCTTTTGTTTTTTCTCTGTTTTCTGCTGGAGTAATTAGGTCATCTTCAGTTGGTTTTTGTTTGTTTTCTTCCGGAGTAATTAGGTCCTCTTCTGATGGTTTTAGTCTCTTTTCTGCCGGAGTAATTATGTCATCTTCTGTTGGTTTTTGTCTGTATTCTGCTGGAGTAATTAGGTCATCTTCGGTTGGTTTTTGTCTGTTTTCTTCCGGAGTAATTAGGTCATCTTCTGATGGTTTTTGTCTCTTTTCTGCCGGAGTAGTAAGATCATCTTCTGTTGATTTTTGACTGTTTTCTACGGAATTATCTAAGTTTCCTTCTGTTGGTTTTTGGCTATTTTCTGCTGGAATACATCCATTATCTTCTGATGGTTTTTGTCTGTTATCGTTTTCAGTAATTAAGGGAGTCCTTTGGTCATCTTTTGCTGTAACTCTTATTGATGTACAACACCCCATTCTTCTAACTCAGACATTAACTAAGCTTGGGTACTAACCCTTCTTCCTGACTTAATCTGACATTCCATCAGATAAAGACACATAGTCTTAGATTTGATTATCATCCAAGTAACGGCTTAAAAGCGCTATTGATACCATACGTATGCTAATTGTCAGAATATTAATAGAATAAATTGTTTAAAAGGAGACGCGAATCGAAACAACGGGATTTTTTTTAAATAATTAAACTCATTAGACGTAAGAAGAAGGAAGATAGATCTAAAACATCAAGTTTTAATTAATGTTATAATTGGCATTGAAATGTAATGCTTTTGTTTATTTTAGTGCATTTCTCTTAAATTATTACTTTTGCGTATAGATAGTTATAATATCACGATTACCTTGATGTCATAGTTATTACAATAGAATGGTTGTCTACTATTATTTTGATACCATGGTCTACCTGATATCGTAGCTTTTGTACATGTAATAGCACGGTTGTCTTAATATTATCTGTATAACTCTATATTAATTATGCGCTTCTTTACTTTACTTGCTTTACATGCTTTAATGCTGATGGTACTTGTATAGAGAAGTACCCCCCCCCCCCAACCCCCCCCGTAGGATTTCCCTCGGAAATTCTTCACAACAGTAGGATTTCCCTCAGGGGAGAAAGCCTGTTCTAAAGCAAACATTCCTTGATGCTATAAATTTTAATTCAAGTGGTTGTAATTAATTAAACATTTTTATTAAAGGATGCGGATATATGTTTTATGATTTTTTTTAGAATAATTTATTGCATTCGGGAATCTAAGGGGTGCCGGAACATTTTTTTTTTTAAATTCTTTAGAGAGGAGCGATAATCAGGTGAGCAGGCAAAATAAAAATACATTTATCAACTTAATTGAAGTATGATAACCCGAAAGTGCACATTGCATTCTACATGTATGTTTACTTATAAGATAAACGTGATGACTATAATTTTTCAATCGTCATTTTCCCTTACATATGCAGTAATATACCCTTATCATCTGCATACAGAGTTTACATTTCTCAGTTGATTTGATACGCAAGAGCATGTTCTACATATGAACAATTTCTAAAACGAGTTAGGTTATTGAAAAACAATTTCTAAAACGAGGCAAGCTATTGGCAAACAAGTGGATGAAACAATAATATCAACAGTCTCATTTTGTAAGTTCTATGGTCGATACAATGACCTTGTCAGCAAACAAATGCTGTTGAATACTGTTTATTATCTCCATATATTTCATATACATGTAACATAAATTAAGAAATCCAAATTTAAATGTGCATCATTTAAAATGCATGTTTAATTAATAACGTCAGTATATTGTAAACGGTAATCCAAATATTGATCATAAAAATTAAATAATATTTTTCTTGTTTAATAATATTTGTTCTTATTGTTGTCAGAAATGAAATATTCTATTATATGTATATAATATAAGACATTACTAAATTGGAAAAACTGCCTCGAGGAGGGGGAAGTTGGAATATAATCTCCTCTCTCGAAATGCTGTTTCTAGAGAGTGATTCGGGGGGGGGGGTCCATTCAAGAGTCAGATTTTCGTGGGGGAAATCCTACTGTACATTTAGTTTTCCGGGGCAAACTTTTGCCTGAAAATGACAATTAAGACATAAGCTGCGTTACTCATCACACATGCGTACAAGCTGCTGCACCGTAGGTCTTATTTCTACATCACTACCTGACAGGTAAATTTCCCTGTCTTGTTTTAACAGTTTTTTCGTAACATCAATAACAAACTTCTCTCGCCCGAACTTTTTTCTAGGAGTTATTTTAAAAGATGTCAAATCTACAACCACGTAAGTAGATACTAAAATTCATAATTTTACATGTTTTATAAAATCCCACTGTCATGTCACAGAAGTTTGGAGAGTCAAACGGACGTGTAAAGATATTTGAAATTTTAAATATTTCACTGTTAAAAGTTAATTTTAATGTTATTATTCTGTGATTTCTTCTTTAGCAAATAATTTTATTCATTAATTTATCGATTTATTTTTTTTAAATAATTAGTGTGCTTTAATAACTTTCAGGCAATTGCTTAACCTGATTATTCTCTATGCAAACAAGTCCCACCAATTTGCTTTAGGGAGGTTTTTATTTACGTATGACCTTTGATATCATGTGAAGGTGTTAGCCAAAATCACCTATTTGCTTTCTTAATTGCTTCTTAGTTTATTACAGGTTTGAAGCTGTACAGTGTACAAATATATATATAGAGAGAGAGAGAGAGAGAGTATGCATTAATACATCAATTGATTTTTGAAATATTGTTTTAACAGAATAGTAAATAATGCACGTACACCTAATATTTGCAAAGAACATATGCCACCACAATAATAAAGGTGTATATATTTAATCAAAATAACTATAAATATTGACGAAAAACAGTCTCTCAGAACAAGAAATGCAGATGTCAATTTTTGTTAGAGAATCATCGCTGTTTTTTTTGTCAGTGACATACTAGTTATGTTTTTGCTTTATTAGCCCCACATCAACATGTGACAGTGGTACAACAACCACCGACCCCCGTCTTTAGAGACATCCCGGTCAACATGGTCTGTCAACATTGCCACCATCAAATAACAACTGCTATTTCCTTCGAAACTGGAACTCTTACCTGGATTATCTGTGGCGTTTTGATTTTATTTGGGTATAAATTCTTCTTTGATATCTTTGATTTAGTTTGAGGAGATTGAAAATGGGAAATTTTCCTCTTTTCTGGGGAGTGGGTGGGGGTAGCATTACATAACAGGATGATTGAGTGGCTGTAAATTCCAGGTTTAACACAAACCAATTCAATTGGGAAATTTTCATAGCTTATTCATGTTCTGTAAGATCAATGAGAAAACTTTCACATAGATATATCGTTTACGAATGGTATTAAGGCCAAGGTGTTTTTACAAACTAAAAGGCTAAGGAGATTTATTACATTGGTAAACGACAATATGCAGTGTTTGGTCCCAAATTCTATGTTGGAAAATGATAAAAAGTTAATATGCAAGCCCTTCTTTTGTTATAGTCTCAGCATCATTATTTGGAAACAATTTACAAAACAATAAAAATATGTTTAAGTATGTGTATGCTTATATTTTAAAATGTTACTTATTCCATATGAGCAGTTGTGTATGATAACAAAAAGATCTTAAATTAGAATAAAAAAAAAAAAATCAGCAGTCTATGTATCAAATAATAATAATAAATCTAATATTCATCTTCTAAACAACTAAAAGTGGTAAAGGTTCAATGTCACACCAGCTGCATGTAATCATTGTAAAACGTTAATATTTATTAATCGTCTTACACATGTATCCTTTGTCAAAGACTGTGGAGTTTTGCCAGTTATAGCGCACAAATACCTCAATTTAAAATACAAGTTAAATTAGAAATTATTTCAGGTCCTTTTGTATGACCGATCGTGCATGAAAAAAAAAACACATGATAAAAAAACATTGTTTTTTTTCCTCAATATTTTATATCCTTTTCAATGAGTGATTATTTTTTCTTTCTTTTTTTTTTTTTTTTTTGTACTCTTATAAAAATACGTTAGTTTACGTACTTTAATACTGAGTACGTTAGAAAACCTGTTTAATTGTACTGTTCAAACTGCTGCAATAATTGTCCTGATTTCTGTTGAAGGTGCTGGCTTGGCTGCTGTTTGATTCCTTTCTACGTTGAAGGTTGTAAAGACTGTGTTCACACATGTCCAAACTGTCACCAAGTCGTTGGCAAGTTTACCAGAATATGAACATCCGGCATCGGACCAAACAACCATTAAAAACTGGTTACTGTTGTTTTTGTTTTTTGTTTGTTTTTTTTTTTTTTTTTTTTTTTTGAGTATTTTTGGGGGGAAAAAACTCAGCTTTGAATTTTCCCAGTTATTCAATATTACATTTCTTAAATTTCTGTTGCCTTTTTAAACAGCTAAATTTAAACTTAGTTTTTAAAGTTTGAACTTTAAAAACTAGTTGGTCGTGATCTTGACAAAAATGAGGATATATTTCACATTTTAACGAAAATAAAATTTGGATTATTGGTGTCTTATTTGGTTATTTTGTGTGAGATATTCACAATAATAATTGGCATATAATTTAATGCATAACTGGGGTGAATGACTGTGAAAGTAAAAAAAAACAAAAACAAATTGACAACGAGAGTAACTTTATAACATTAAAAAGGCTTATTCAAACGATTACAGAGGAAAACAAATTCCAATATAAGTTATAACAAATTGAACTGTTAAACAAAAGTTTTGCCTAGTTTAATCAAAAAATAAATCAACAAACGCTCTAGAAGAGCTTGCGACTAGATTAGTGATGCAATACTTTTGTCACACTATTAGCTCGCTTAGATTAAGAGATATTCCTTCTATCTACACAATTCCTTAAGTTTGGCATCCACATGATTTTTTTTAATTCAATCTTTCACCTTTCAGAACATTTCATCATCACTTAGATCATCAGGACTATAAGCAGAAACGGAAGCAATTTCTGGATTTTCAAACCCAGAATCTGCGTCATCACTCAACTTCTGATTTTTATGCACTTCACTTTGATTTGAATGAAGTTCCTTAGAATTTCCTCCAACGATAATGTCATTTTCCGATTGTCTCACAACTGTAGTCTTCTGGGTTGTATGTATTTTATCGTGGGTAAAATCTAAATCATTACTCACACTAAATTTCTGATCTGCTTCCTTCTGATCAGGTTTGGAAATATTAGATGATGGTCTGATAACAGTATTTTCAGTCTCTACAGCGTTCTTGGCGAAGCTCTCATCTCTTCTAACTTCGTCATGAAGAATCAAAGAATGCCGGGAAGAATATTTATCCTCTTCAGGTTCCTCCGTTTTTAACACAAATACATCAGCTTTATTGTCTGTTTGTGGAACACCTCTGATTTCTTCATGCGATGATTCCTGGTGCATCCAGGACGCCTCTTTTTGTTCGTTTATTACTGAACTTTTATGAGGCAAAGAAGACAGACTCCTCTGTTTGTCTTTGATTGTCACTGCAGGCTGACTACCCTGTGAGGAGGACAAACATCCCATTTTTAATTCACAACCCCTTTTCACCCCAAAATGGCGACCAGCACCAAAATTGTTTTGAAAGACATCCACGTATACTGCTATACGTCAGAGAATTCTTTATTAAAACAGTCCTTGCCCTTTAAATCCACACTCATATATCGCAAATTAATACATTGGGGACTGAAAACGTACATGGAATTTTTCAATCAATACCAACATAGCGGTGAGGTCGATCGATAAGCCGTTTAAAAAACTATAGTGGTCTTGACCTTAGTTGAATGGGTTTTAATTATAGTTTATATTTGAGTGGCATCTTTATACATTTTTAAAAGCATATCAAGTTGGTGTTTGAAAGAATTTAGTTTTGGTACAAGAGGCTGATCCATGGTCATATTAATTTATAATGCATTCCCTTCATGCGCGGATGCTTCAAAATTATTGCTATTTGTAATAGTAGTAGGAATATCACTTCATAAACTTTCCCAAACAATATATTCTGTAATACGGAAGCTTGGGGGGGGGGGGGGTGTCTGTTAAGTTATAAGCAACATTCAGCTAGACTACATTGATGCTTAATCAATGTGATATGGTCCGTAATACTGCGTCTTAATTAAAGAGCAGATTAGCAACCACCAAATACGCACATTTCTTTAAGTAGTCAAGAATTTACACACCTAAGTTTTATGTAAAACAATTCCCTCTAAATTTTCATCTTAGCTTTTAGTAAAATATCTTTAAATTAACACCGAAAAAGAAATCAAATCGCTTTGAGTTCTTACTTTCACTGTTTAGTTGTGAATATGTTGATAATGAACAGAAAATGAAGATTTTATTCCTTTTTTCCAAGAATGAGTCTTACTTACTTTCTCTGTTCTTAGAGACGAATATTTCAGTGAGAATTTGAAAAGGGGGTGAATCTAGGTTTCAGTCTTCTATACCGATCTTCTTTTATCCATCAAATTAAGGACAATATTTTTTGCTGACTAACCCTTTTTCTATTAGGGAGATTCTTTTGATCTAAATAGTTCTTCTAAAAAGCATATAGAAAAGTTTAATGCTAATGAAAATAATAAATTTTTATTCAAGTCTTATTTCGACACTTTGTATTTTCAAAAATATGTTCACTATCTCATATTTCTTTTATTCTTTTTGTTTTGTTTTAAATAATGAATACATGGAATTGAGCAAATTAAAAAGTTTGATTTAATTTCATTCAGCAGAATACAATGTACACGTGTTCATATGTATTATGAAAGTGTGATGTTCCGAATTAGTATTTACAGAATCTTAGAACGGAATCTTTCATTTTTTTTTCTCCAGAAATCATTTAAAGAAACTTTTCTTCTATAGACATTTTTGTTCCCTTTCCATAAAAAAACATTAAAAGACAATTCCAAAAAAATTATAAAACCTAAGGTAAAAATCGCATATTAGCTCGATGAAAATTAAAGCATTTTGTTTTCAATACAGAAGATATAAATCATGTTATACTAGGGTTATCTCTCTTACGCTAGTTGTTATATTTCTTGCTTTGTCAAGGGAAGGAAATTTCTATGGGATAACCAAAGAGGTGAACACAATGAACAGATATCAATCTCAGAAATCCTTTATCTATATTAATTTACTCTTAATTTTAATAACTTAACCTTTGACCTTATTTATGTTAACCGAGTTGTCTCTACCTATGGCATAAACATGTATATTAAAAATTTGATTCTTAGCGTAAAATCCCCCCCCCCCCCCCCCCGCAATAGATTCATGTGCTCTGTGAAAGCACGAATTGTTTTAGATTTGTATGCTATTGGTTGACATTCATTCCAAAACAAGAGGCCCAAGGGCCTTAACAGTCACCTGATAAGAAAGTACTTTTTGGTATTATATATCATAAACATTCATGTACAATCCTTCTATTCATTTGACATTTCAATTGCATTATTTACAGTGATTAAATATCAAAGGTGAATAGCAAAGGGGAATAACTTCTCTCAGTAGAATACAAATTAATACAGCTGTGCATGCCAAGCACCAAATCACTTGACCACGTGGTCAAGAATTTTAAAGTTTTGGTGAAAATACCCTTGCTTATAGCCTTAGTACATAAGTCCTCGAACCGCTTCATGCTTCATCGGATATCGCAGTGGAGTAGGCTTTGACGTCATAGCTACCTTGCTTATTACAGCTCTGTACTCTGTACTCTGAGAAAAGAATTTTCAATGAAAAAATGCATTTTCACTGTATAAGCAATTGAGCCCCCCAACCCCAGTCCCTGGGGCCACAAATTTCATAATTTTGGAAGAGGCATTATAACCATGTACCTAGTTTATCTGCTAAATATACAGGGGGAGAGAAGACTTTTAAAGAATTTTTACTATATGATCATTAGAGCCCCACCCTAACTTCAGAACCCCTGACCCCCGGGCCAGGAATTTCACAATTTTTGTAGAGGGCTCAATGTTCAATACAATCATGCCAATAGTTTGAATGCTTGATGTCCAGGAGTAATACAGATGATTTTCAAAGATAGCACTAATTTTGATGGTTTTAGTCGCATCCTTCCTTCAGGCCCCCGGGGGGGGGGGGGGGGCATGAACCAAATTCACAATTTTTGTACCCCTTCAAACCTTCAACTATTAATGCCAAGGCCGTAACTACCATTGAGGCAAATGGCCCTCATATCCCTTAATTGCCTCTGTTACTAAAAATTTGAGCCTAGTTACGGCCTTGAATGCTATATGCCAAAATTGGCTAAAATTGGCAAAATGCTTCAAGAGAAGAAGCTGAAAATGTTCAAACGCACGACGAACGAGGAAACAGATAGCAATAGGTCATCTAATAACTCAGGTAACCTAGAAAAGGATATATGATATTTAAACCATTTGCTGCAAACTTTTATTAATAAAACATTTAAATTGAAACTAAATTTAAGCTTAAATGAGTAATTATAGCCATATGAAATGTAACCTTTTATTTAAAAATTCTTAAATATGACCCATTAAGTGTTTTGTTTGTTTGTTTGATTGTTGTTTAACGTCCCTCTCAAGATTTTTTCACTCATATGGAGATGCCACCTCTTGCCGGTGGAGGGCTGCAAATTTTGACCAATACTCGGCACATACTGCCATTGAGCAGTGAGGGATCTTTTTCGTGCCAGCACCTACTGCGACCTTGGTTTATACGGTCTCATCCGAAGGACCGGTCTCCACATCCCGCAGTGGATTCGAACCTGCGACATAAGGATTAACTCCTTACACCGCGATTATAGAGCAAACGCTCTAACCACTGCGCCACGCAGGCGACCCTATTAAGTGATAAAAATATTTGTATACTAGTAAATTTATATGGGGAACGACAACAATGATTTTCGACATGATGAACATCATAGAAAATTCACAATTTCTTTAATTTCTTAAGGACTTCGGTATTTGATATTAGATAGTCCAAAAATACAAATACCAATCCATGCTTGAATTTTTGTAGCAGTTTTTTTTTTAATGCAAGTGCGTCATTCATTGCAAACTTTAAAACATTTGTTTTCTAAATATGACCTTGTGAAAATTGTTCTCATTTAAATGTTGAGAAAGTCTTCCATCAGAAAATGAAATAAAGTAATTGTAGGCACGTAGTGTCGGCAAATGGTTCTTTCTCTTTAGTCAAAGTTAATTAGAGATCTCAGCCTAGAAGTTAAACATACCTATAAATCTAGCACAATTGAGATTATTAAGTGATGTGTACAGGTAAAGATTGTGAGATAGAGATTTTTTTTTC